GAGTTGAGAACACACGATAAGAAATCAAAAAGTGAGATGTTCCTAAGAATGCCCAATAGCCTCTTGAAGATAGGATACATACATCATTGTACTGATCCGCGAGAATCTAGAAAGAATTTTTTCTTGTACTGGTAAGATCAGTTAACTTGAATTTTTTATAACACGTTATCATGACCTAATATTGTGCCATGAATGCACCTACTATAATCCTCCATACTCCAGTAGGAAAGCCAAGCTCAAGACCTATACTGAAAGTAAAAACTGATATGAATAATACGGGAAGTGGGAAATGAGATAATCGAAACACCATGTATACAATGGCGGATCTAGGATTTCTATTAAGGAGGTTCAAAAGAAAAAAGAGAGTAGTGCCTAAGATTTGATCTTGGAACCTCAAGGTGAATTTTTAATTCCTTCACCATTAAGCCAACTTATTATCTTACATTTAGGAGGTTCAAAATCAGTATAGACATAAAATTTCTTTAAAATACCTTAAATGTACAAAGTAATTTTTTGCCGATGGGATTCAGTTGAACCCGCTCAGCAGCCTCTAGCTCCACCCCTGCATGCATAGATACATACATAACATGTACAAAAATATACGGCATATTCCCTAAGCAAAAGAAAGAAAGAAAATTTATACAAGATACCAACTTTGAATCTGGTGTCACTGGTACAAGAGCCTCTAAAAGTACGAGAGTACCGTTAAACAATACACAATTATTTGATAGATAAAAAAAACAAAGACAGTAGAATATCTTGTCCCGGATATATTTGCTAGAGATCAAATATACTCTCTTTTAGCAAACTTAATGGAACCAAATTTCTCAAAAACATATATTTAACGGGCCATTTTGAATCAACCTTCAAACATAGGGAAGTTTTTTGTTATTTTCTCTAATATTCCAGGTAAGAGGTTTTCCAGATCAGATTAAAATAGTAACTTTTAATAATGAAAATAAAATTGAATGATCTCCCATTAAATTTACCCTTCGTAGAATTAATAAGAAAAAAGGAGTTTACGGATGGCATTTGTTTTTTGTTTTATTGATAAATAAACAATTAATTACACGGAGATTATTTTATTGAACATAGAGTTTAAAAATAAGTTAATTTGAAATATACATCATATTAGTTGTTAAACAAATTTTGGGCTTAAATAATTTGGTGTGTTTGTTACAGAAAATATTTTCTATGAAAAATATTTTTCAGAAAATGTTTTTTTTTCTAAAAAATAAACTATTTTCTTACTAATTTTCTAATGTTTGGTAAAAGTAAGAAAATATTTGTCACGCCCCAAACTCAAGGGGTGCAACTGGCTCCTAATGCCAAAACTCAGACCCGAACCGACCTTGCTGAACCATTTGTTACTAGTGCAAGGCAAACACACGCAATCAAGAAAACAAACTAGTATATCCCGGCTTAAAACTAAGCCCTCGGCCGGTAAGGCCCTTGTTAACACATATATAAAATAAATAGCTACTCCCAAGAGTTCATATAAAGAAATAGTCAACTAGCACAGAAGTCCTGACTGGGCCGTCGAGGCTACCATGATATCTATACAAAAACTGGAAGCAAGTACATATAAAGACAATACATAAAACAGCTCACAAGCTTCAACAAACTAACAAAACTAGGCCAGCATGGCCATAACCTAGTTATACACCCCACACACTAGTCTACAGGCCTCAAAGAGTAGTAAAGATTGGCGGGACAGGCCCCAGCCTATCCATAAAAATATACACAACAAAAGCTAACAAACCTCCAAACTCTGGCAGCTACGGAGGAAAGGGGCTAGCCAACTGGATAAAAGTCAATCATGCTACTAAGGAGGTCTACTCGGTCGTCTGCCAGGACCTGCATGCATGAATGCAGCGCCCCAGGCAATGGGGAATCAGTACAAAATAATGTACAGAGTATGAAAGACTGTAGACTAAATGAGCAAGTATCATAATATATCAAAAGCAATCAAGGTAAGGAAATCAAATTTAGATAAGCATGCCAACCCACTATTGAATCTAAAAAAATACAATAATGATGAAACATCAACCTAACCAAGCCCCCATAATCCCGGTAGGTACAAACAACATACCACCTACTTAGGCCCCCATAAGCCCAGAAGGTGCCAAATCAATCTACATAACCTTATCAGTAGCCCCTTGTCTTTGTAAAAATTCACATAGCCCTTTTTGGCAACGATATAGCCCCGTAGGTAGCGCATAGCCCTCTTAGGCAACATCATACCTCTATGAGTTGCACGTAGCCCTCTTTTGTATCACATAGCCTTGTAGGCAATACATAGCCCTCTTTGGCGTCAAAAAAGCGCCGTAGGCAACACATAACACTCTTTGGCATCAATATAGCCTTGTGGGCAACACATAGCCCTCTTGGGCAATAACATAGTCCTATTAGAAAAACATCATAGTCCCTATAGGAATTTCATAACTCAACAGCTAACCACAATTGCCCCAAGGGCGAAAGCAAACAATTAAATAGGCTGAAGGCGAGCAATTTAGCTATAAACAATATATATGAATAATGTCCAAGTCATTCCAAACTTAGGGTTATTCTGAACAAATTATGAGTCCCTAAAATGAGGGTTTATAACCACTCAATCAGCCAACCACTCACAATTACATCTACAACATATCTAACATTAACTACCCTATTATATCACTCCCAAGCTCTAAGGAAACAAGCCGAACGAAGGGAGTAGCTTTAATATACCTTTTCCTTTATAACTTATGCGGAAAATACATTTGTCCACACCACTACAACACTAAAGGAAAAGGTAAAATCAATCAGTAATTAAGGATAAAAATTACTACGACAATTTGACAATCGATACGGATTCCTATTGTAAACTACAATCCAAGACCTAAGGTATCCGTAAACTGATAAAAGGTGATTACTACCTTTCTTAAATGACCAGAACACTTGAATACAATCACTCCACTAAGAAAAACCATGCTACCACAACCTTCACGGAGCTACATCGCTCAATTCACCGTTAAAATTATACCAAATTGACGAGCTCGCGACATAGGACAATTTTTTATAAGAGTCCAAGAAGAGATCACCAACACACAAGGATGATTTGAGGAGTATTTCTCTTATTTTCGTGGGTTTCTCACGATTTGGAATGAAGAAAAATGAAGAAGATACTATCTTATAAGCTTCCACAAACTTAGGGGACCCACCTCGCGTGTCTGCTTGCGTAGTCTCGTAAGAACGCGAATATCTCTCTATTCTGAAGTCGTATTAACAAACCGTTTGATGTGTTGGAAACTAGACTCGTAGACCTTCAATTTAATGGGTCGTGGACCCCATAACTCGTTATAGATTTTGAGAAAACTTCCGAAACATTTGACCCAAATTTCAGAAAAATCTTTAAAAAAGAACTTACGATAACTTTCGCCCAGTTTTATTTTGCGACTTACCTTACTTCAAAACTTGAGATACAACCCTTGAGCACTTAAAATATGACATACCACATCATTCTTAATTTATTACTCACCCTTTTTGTCTTTCCACGAATGTACAAATTAATTTAGACATTTAGAAAAGTTGGGGTGTTACATCCTTCCCCCCTTAGAAATATTCGTCCTCGAATGAAAAATCTGAGTCACACGGTTATGTCCTTAAGAGTTGCCAAAGTTTAGACAAAGTATCCTTTGTGAATGTGACTATCCAGAACCTAAAACACATAAATTTTTAACCTAGGCGTCTCACAGGACGACATAAATAGCTAAGCATTATAGCTCCGCAATAACAGTGCGAGCAAAAATACAACGACGACAACCATAATAATAAGCAATAATATAAAAAATTTGGTAGGTATCTTACCCCACTACACCAATATAAACTGATATGCCATCACCCTGGGGTATGAAACAAGTGAGGATATTTGGACCTCATGTCTTCCTCATCTTTCCAGGTCACCTCTTCTCTATTCTTGTTTCTCCACAATACTTTAACCGAAGCCACCTCTTCGGTCCTCAATTTACGGACCTGTCGATCTAATATGACAACTAGAGTTTCCTCGTAGGACAAATCCTCTGTGATCTGAGCATCCTCAACTGGGACAACCCGATAAGGGTCTCCTACGCACTTTCATAGCATTGATACATGGAAAACTGGATGAACAGATTCTATCCCCGAAGGAAATTCTAACTCATAAGCCACTCGTCCTACCCTCCAGAGGATCTAATATGGCCCAATGAATCGTGGACTAAGCTTGCCTTTTTTGCCAAATCTCATAACACCCTTCATAGGTGAGACTTTTAAGAATACCCAGTCATCGATACAAAATTCTAAGTCCCTTCGTCGGACATCTGAGTATGACTTCTGTCTGCTTTGAGTTGTTAGCAACCTCTCCCGAATGAGCTTAGCATGCTCTACTGTTTGTTGTACTAAGTCGGGTCCAATCAACCCTGACTCACCTACCTCGAACCATCCAATGGGGGACCTACACTTTCGCCCATACAAAGCCTCATAACATGCCATCCTGATACTGGAATGATAACTATTATTGTATGCGAACTCAATAAGAGGCAAGTGGTCATCCCAACTTCCCTTGAAGTCTAGCGCGTACGCCCGTAACATATCCTCAAGTGTCAAAATTGTACTCTCAGCCTGGCCATCTGTCTAAGGGTGAAAGATTGTACTAAGATTAACTTGTGTCTCCAGTCCTTTCTGGAAGGACTTCCAGAAGTTGGCGGTAAATTGTGCTCCTCTATCAGAGATAATAGAAACTGGGACACCGTGTAGCCTAACAATCTCTCTAATATAGAGCCCTACATAGTCTTCGGTCGAAAAAGTAGCTCTGACTAGTAAGAAGTGGGCTGATTTTGTTAGTCTATCAACAATTACCCAAATAGAGTCAAACTTGCGACGCGATCGAGGTAACCCTGTAATAAAATTCATATTAATTGATTCCCACTTCCACAAAGGAATGGTTATCTCCTGAACTAGCCCAGCGGGCTTTTGGTGCTCAACATTCACCTGTTGGCAGTTAGGACATGTGCAACAAACTCAGCAACGTCCTTCTTCATCCTGTGCCACCAATATATCTTCTTAATATCATTGTACATCTTCGTCGAATCACGTTGAATAGAATAACGGGAATGATATGCCTCTTCCATAATCTGATGTCAAAGCCTTGTACCATTCAGAACACACAATCGACCGCTACTTCTAAGGACTCCATATCCTGCTATATCAAATGCTAAAGTCTGTTGATTCTGAGCCTTGGCTCTGAGCTGCTCTAAGCTAAGATCCTCTTGTTGCCGTGATTTCACTTCTACAACTAGAGATGATATGGTTGTGTCCTGAATTGTTACCTCACTATTTTCTGCCTCTAACAATCTGACTCCCAAGCTAGCTAACTAATGAAGCTCTCGCGTTTGCTCACACTTCTCAACACCTAAATAGGATAAACTACCCATAGATCTTTGCCTGAGAGGATCGGCTACCACATTCACCTTTCCTGGATAATATAAAATATCCACTTCGTAGTCTTTCAGTAACTCAAGCCATCGACGTTGTCGCAGATTTAACTCATTTTGTTTAAAGTTATATTGAAGGCTTTTATGATCTGTGAAGATGTCAATATGAACGCCATACAAATAGTGTCTCCAAATCTTTAACGCATGCACAACTGCAACCAACTCTAAATCGTGGGTCAGATAGTTCTTTTCATGCTTTCTCAACTGCCTTGAAGCATATGCGATAACCTTACCATGTTGCATTAGAACACATCCCAACCCAACACCAAAAGCATCACAGTACACTGTATAGCCTTCTGAACCCTCTGGCAATGTTAGAACTGGTGTTGATGTCAACCTGTCCTTAAGCTCCTGAAAACTATGCTCGCAAGCCTCAGTCCACTGGAACTTAGTTGCTTTTTTAGTCATCTTTTTTTAATGGTGCTGAAAGTGAAGAAAACCCCTTTACAAACCTTCTGTAGTACCCAGCTAACCCTAAGAAACTATGAACCTCAGTCGGAGTCATGGGTCTGGGCCAAGTCTTTACAGACTCAATCTTTTGTGTATCAACCTCAACGCCTGCATATGATACAATATGTCCTAGGAAAGCCACAGAGCTCAACCAGAACTCACACTTGGAGAACTTTGCATAAAGTTCCTACTCTCGAAGAACCTAAAGGACTGCTCACAAATGATTTGCATGCTCAACTTTTTAACGTGAATACACCAAAATATCATCAATAAATACAATCACAAACAAGTCTAAATACGGCCTGAATATACTATTCATCAGGTCCATGAACACTGTTGGGGCATTAGTTAATCCAAAAGACATTACCAAGAACTCAAAGTGCCCATATCTGGTTCTAAAAGTTGTCTTTGGAACGTCTTTCTCCCGAACTCGTATCTGGTGGCACCCTAATCTTAAATCAATCTTTGAGAAACACTCAGCACCTTGTAACTGATCAAACAAGTCATCGATCCTCGGAAGGGGATACTTATTCTTTATAGTTGCCTTATACAGCTGTCGATAATCGATACACATTCTTAGTGAGCCATCTTTCTTCCTCACGAATAACATTGGCGCACCTCATGGTGAATCACTAGGCTTGATGAAGCCTTTTTCCAGCAAGACTTTCAGCTGATCATTTAAATCATTTAGCTCAGTCGGAGCCATTCTGTAAGGAGGGATAGATATGGTTTGTGTACCTGCTAGCATATCGATAGCAAAATCAATTTCTCATTCTAGAGGGATACCAGGGAGCTCGTCTGGAAATACATCTAGAAACTCATTAACTACCGAAATAGACTGAAGAGTCGGTGGTTCTGCATCTATATCATGAACACGAACAAGATGATAAATACAACCCTTAGTGATCATTCTCCTCACCTAAAGATAGGAAATAAACCTACCTTTCGGCGTTGTTGTATCGCCTTTCATTCCAGAACTGCATCTCTTGGAAAGTGGAATCTAACAATCTTTCTCCGACACTCAACATTAGCATAACAAGACGCTAACCAGTCCATCCCCATAATGATGTTGAAATCAACCATCTCTAACTCTACCAGGTCTACAGAGGTCTGACGGTCGATAATTTCTACCGGGCAACCTTGATAGACTCTTCTGGCAATAATAGACTCACCAACTAGTGTAGATACAATAAAGGGTCGATCTAATGACTCTGCTACTATACATAACTTCCCCGCAATAAATGGAGTAACATAAGACAGAGTAGATCCAGGATCTATCAAAGCATAAACACAATGGGAGCAAACTCTTCCTCGCAATAAATGGAGTAACATAAGACAGAGCAGATCCAGGATCTATCAAAGCATAAACACAATGGGAGAAAATAATCAATGTACCTGTCACAACATCTGGTGATGACTCTGAGTCCTGTCATCCGGTTAATGAATATGTACGGTTCTGTCCACTACCAGAACTAGATGCTCCCTTCCTGCCTCCGCCTCTACCTCTACGTTCTGAAGTCTGGGGTCCATGCCCTCTAGACTATGCGGATGAGAAGGAACCTACTACTAACCTGGTCGACTAACCTATACCACCCTGACCTATGGTAGGGCAGTTTCTCCACCCATGCCCCTCCTGTCCACAAGAATAACAACCTGTGGAACCCTGTCTGTACCTCCCGAAATGCATCCTACCGCAAGTAAAGCAATGCGGTGGGGTAGTCCTAGCCTGGTCTGAACCCCTCTGCTGCTGCAAGCCTGATGCTCGTGAACCCTCACATGGGACTGAATGTCCCTGACGATCAAATCTACTACCCTGGAACTGTTGTAGTGGATGTCTAGGTGGCCTAATAGAATGTCCGGGTCTGGGACCACCCTGAGAATCTCCCTGTAAACCAGTGGGCCTAGCCTTTAACTGTCTCTCTCTCTCTCAACCCTCTCACTCATATATTGTAGATGTCGGCGATCCTCTATGCCTTGTGCAAAGGCCTGAATTCGCGAGATATCCATATTATCATTTAGTGCAGTGGTAAAACAAGCGTCGATATAGTCTGATTCAAGCCCTCCCACAAATCTACGCACCCTGTCATGCATCGTTTCAACAAATGGTGGTGCATATATAGCCAATGAATCATATCTCAGCCCGTACTCTCAGACACTCATGCTACCCTATCGGAGGTTCAAAAATTGGTCCACCCGGCCATCCCTAATCTCTCGAGGCAAATAGTGATCTATGAAAGCTTCTGTAAAGCTATCCCAAATGGGTAGAGATGCATCTTTTCCTCTAGATCTCTCCCAACTTTCGTACCAAAATACTGCAACATCACGCAATCAAAATGTTGCTAACTCAACTGACTCAGTCATGACTCTGAAGATCCTATGAAGATGATCAACAAAGTGTTGAGGGTCCTCTTTACGATCTGTCCCTGTGAACTGTGGAGGATTCAAGGCAAGAAATTCACGAACTCTCTAACTTTCGGGCCCTTCAGAAGGTCGGGCATCATCTAGCACAACTGGCTGGCACTGTGCAGCTACTAACTGTGCTAACATATATACTACACTGTTCAAATCCTAATCAGATAGAATAGGAGGAACTAAAGGTGGTACTGCTGGTGGAGCCGGAAGTTTTGTAGCCCTCGGAGGTTCTTGAAGCGGTGGAGAAGCTATAGGGGAATGAGAAGATGTCTCCCCATGGGTCCCACAATGGGCTACCTCCACCTGTGGTACCTTGTTGTTACCCTCGCCTGCAGCTGTATCTAGCCCTTGGCTAGCTGTGGTCTCTCCAGTGTCAGCCATTTCTATCTGCATACAAGTATCAATTATAAGCAAGAAACCTCAACCCTTAAGACACCTCTCTATAGCACGAGGTGAGCAAAAGAAGGATAATTATTCTAACATGCCCGGTAGCTTCTTGCTTACCGAATGTGGTGGACAACACATTTATAAACAAGACTCTACTAGACACGGCTTGTAGACTCCCTAGGATACGACGTTGCTCTAATACCAAGTTTGTCACGCCCTAAAGTCAAGGGGCGTAAATGGCTCCTAAAGCCAAAACTCAGGCCCGAGCCGACCTTGCTGAACCATTTGCTACTAGCGCATGGCAGACACACGCAATCAAGAAAACAAACTAGTTTATCCTGGCTTAAAACTAACCCCTCGGCCAGTAAGGCCCCTGTCAACATATATATAAAAGAAACAACTACTCCCAAGAGTTCATATAAAGAAATAGCCAACTATCACAAAAGTCCTGCCTGGGCCATCGAGGCCACCATGATATCTATACAAAAATCGGAAGCAAGTATATGTTAAGACAATACATCAAACAGCACACAAGCTTCAGCAAACCAACAAAACTAGGCCAGCATGGCCATAACCTAGCTGTACACCCCACACACTAGTCTGAAAGCCTCAAAGAGTAGTAAAGATTGAAATGACAGGCCCCAGCCTACCCATAAAAATATACACAACAAACGCTGACAAACCTCCAAACTCTGGTAGCTCCGGAGGAAAGGGGCTAGCCAACCAGATAGAAGTCAATCCTGCTACTAATGAGGTCTACTAGGTCGTCTATCAAGACCTGCATGCATGAATGCAACGCCCCCAGGCAATGGGGCCTCAGTACAAAATAATGTACAGAGTATGAAAGGTTGTACACTAAATGAGCAAGTATCATAATATACAAAAAGCAATCAGGTAAGGAAATCAAATTTAGATAAGCATGCCAACCCATTACTGAATCTAATAAAATACAATAATGATGAAACATCAACCTAACCAAGCCCCCATAAGCCCGGTAAGTACAAACAACATACCACCTACTTAGCACCCATAATCCCAAAAGGTGCCAAATCAATCTACATAACCTTATCGGTAGCCCCTTGTCTTTGTTAAAAGTCACATAGCCCTTTTTGGCAACGATATAGCCCCGTAGGCAGCGCATAGCCCTCTTAGGCAACATCATAGCTCTGTGGGCTGTACGTAGCTCTCTTTTGTATCACATAGCCTTGTAGGCAATACATAGCCCTCTTTGGCGTAAAAAAAGCCCTGTAGGTAACACATAACACTCTTTGGCATCAATATAGCCCCGTGGGCAACACATAGCCCTCTTTTGGCAATAACATAGTCCTATTAGAAAAACATCATAGTCCCTATAGGCATTTCATAGCTCAACAGCTAACCACAATATCCCCAAGGGCGACAACAAACAATTAAATAGGCTGAAGGTGAGCAATTTAGCTATAAACAATATATATGAATAATGTCCAAGTCGTTCCTAACTTAGGGTTGTTCTGAACAGATTATGAGTCCCTAAAATAAAGGTTTATAACCACTCAATCAGCCAACCACTCACAATTACATCTACAACGTATCTAACATTAACTACCCTATTATATCACTCTCAAGCTCTAAGGAAACATGCTGAACGAAGGGAGTAGCCTTAATATACCTTTTCCTTTATAACTTATGTTGAAAATACCTTTGTCCCCACCACTACAACACTAAAGATAAAGGTAAATCAATTAGTAATTAAGGATAAAAATTACTACGACAATTCGACAATCGATACGGATCCCTATCGTAAACTACAATCCAAGACCTAAGGTATCTGTAAACTGATAAAAGGTGATTCCTACCTTTTTTAAATGACCAGAACACTTGAATACAATAACTCCACTAAAAAAAACCATGCTACCACAACCTCCACAAAGCTACACCGTTCAATTCACCGTGAAAATTATACCAAAACGACAAGCTCGCGACGTAGGGCTATTTTCGATAAAAGGCCAAGAAGAGATCATGAATACACAAGGATGATTTGAGGAGTATTACTCTGATTTTCGTGGGTTTCTCACGATTTGGAATGAAGAAAAATGAAGAAGATGCTATCTTATAAGCTTCCACAGACTTAGGGGACCCACCTCGCGTGTCTGCTTGCGCATTCTCGCAAGAATGCGAAT